TAGGATTTCTGCATTTTGCGCACATTTCGTTTCAGATTGAAACGATTTAATAAATCTATGATAGATGCCTCTCAAACACTTTATACAGAACAAAAGGACAGATTCATTCCGATGTCCGTAATGTTGAGAAAACCGGAACCATATGGGTAAATACCAACATGCGTTCATGAACGTAACTTTTGAGTATCGGACTTATCTATGTAGAACACTTTACCAAACGAAACATACAAGCAAGGCGCATTCGAGCTATTTTTTATAATTTATAAAAATTATAACAATTGTCAATATTGTTTAGATAATAAAACGGAAAAGATAATTACCTATATTAAAGCCTTGATAGTATGTGTTTAATCATCTAAACGATTAATTGTGCTACATGTCAAATCACCATAAACGTAAAACAACAAACAAATGAAAAGAAACAAGTTATGAAATTAATTCTCAAACACATATTATAACAAAACGTGTGTTTTAAGAAACGACTGTATTAATAAGAAGAAAAGACATATAGATTTTTTTTTAAAAAGAAATTATTAAAGGGAGACAAATTTCAAAAATCAATTTAAAGAACATTTGAAGAAACTATCTCCCTTTTCTATTAGATATTATCGAAGCTATACCATATTCATTAGCGTAAAATAAATGAATGAGATCTACGATTGTACTTGACTTAGTCGGTACAGAAACATATATAGTTAAAGATATCATTTAAATTGACATTCAATTCTGACAAAACTAAAAACAAATAATAATGATAATAATACAAGTAATAATAAATAAGGAAATGGAAAACAGCATTCTTTGTTGACTGTAGCTTAACTAACATGCATTCACTGAAGCATGATAACGTTTCATTAAACGTCTAACTATAACAGAAGGTGTCGTCGCTAAATCAAAATAAGATTAACTGTAGTCAAATTAAGATGTATTCGTATATACGATGATTAAGGTTTTGTATTTTCAATTGTAAAAGACTGCTAAATAAGGGGAACACATCACCTCATTATATCTTTTTACAGATAAAAAATATAATAACATGTGAATAACAAAGTATGTACCTTTATTTTTACATATGATTGATGAATAAGAACAGAACATAATATATAAAATTAACATGAGCTTTAATTGCATCGTTCTAACAAACATCAACGCCTGCAGTGGAATCGAAGAAATGCTGTACTGCAGAGATGCATCGGTCGGGCATTGAAAGAACTTTTACAACAATCAAATTTAACGACCAATGTTTTTTTTCTTTGCTTTTGAATTTTGATATGGTTAAAGGGAGGCAAATGTTACAAAAGATTTAAATGAATATCTGGTCTTATTATCTCCCCTTTTGTTTAATCATGGTAATTCTATCTACCTTAGGCAAAACTAGAAGAATTTCCAAGTTTGAATGAATAAAGACAATTGAGAGAATTGACTATCTAAAATGTGTTTATTAAGGAAACTAATCTTATGTATTTTAAAAGTAAAATATCACTATTTTGTTTACTCGATTGACTCGATATCATGATAAATCAATTTGGTCTAGTGAATATTTCATACTGGCGTAAATTGGAAAGATGGGAAATAAAATGCGTTTTTTTTTTTTTTTTTTTTTTTTTTTTTCGTTTTAATGAATTAAGATAGATTCATCCTAACGTGGTCACGCGTTTTTACAATTTGCATTATTACAAACCATCGCCGCATATATCAAAGCAATAAATACCACCGCACTTAATTAATTCATACATACATTTCTCATAAGTATGCATTTTGATATTCGATTCATGTGCATGGTTAAAACGGAACTGATAAATTAGAAAATGCTACAGCAAAATCAAGGTCAACATAAAGTACGATCTTTTCTGTTTACTTAAATAATACCTTATTTTACAGCATTTAAAACAATATATCTGTTGTTCTTGTTTTAAGTGACTTTGTTAGTTATGATGATTTGTTTGTTAAATATTTTGAATAAACAAAAATTAAATAAACAAAAAAAAAAAACAAAAAAAAAAACAAAAAAAAACAAGAAATACACACAAAACATAATAGTACCTTATGAAAATGTTTTGTATAATTTATCAAAATACTTCAGCACTACAGAGCCAGGACCGTAGAAGATTGTCAATTAGTGACATTGGCACCATCCCTTGTCGGAACAACGAACCTCTTTAGGATCAAACCCTTCCGAGTAAGTCACGACAGGTCACCCACTTATATATATTGGCCTGTCCTGTAAAACGTGTACAGCAGTTCTTAAGTAAAAGAGACCGTAGATAATAAAGACCCCATATTATCCTGTAAGTTCTAACTATACTAATACATCGGTCTAAAATTTGCTTCACCAGAGTAAAAGTCTTATAGAGTAGTTTGGACAGAAAATGTATGAATCTCTTTCATTTATTTTTAAATCATGTTGCATAATTTACATTTATACAACAATAAAGTATTGATATTTAAAGGGGGGAACAGACACAACATACTGATTTTATCCCGAAATTAATAAATGATATTATTTATCTTTCATTTGATTGATTATTTAAACATGACCGTTTCTTGATGTTGTTGTTTTTTGTGTTCTTTTTTGTTTTGTTTTATTATTTGCTTTTATGTTTTTTATTTATTCATTTTTTTACTTTTGTTTTGATGTTATAAAGGGATAACATAAGGTGCATGTGGTAATAATGGTTATCGACATTAACAACTGTGTACGTATTCATTTGTTGTTGTGTTCAATATTATTTTTAGAATGTTTTTGGTTTAGTACAAATTACATTGTTCAATGGAATGAAATTCTGCAAAATGATAGATATATTTTACACTAAAACTAAAACTAAGGCAAAACTTAAGCCTCATTGATAATGTTGTATCAACATTGAAAAGCAACTTATTATTGTTGATCAACACCATCTCACCTCGTATTGTTCTTATATTTAATGGTAACATTTAATATATATCATAAGATGTAGGCATTATGGGAAACGCGTTTGTGTAATTGTTTTATTAAACTATGTGTAGATACTTATATGGTTAAATTAAGCCAAGTTCTATTTTTATAATAAATAAAGTAATTTATCTTAAAGGCCTGACCAGATCTATTGTGGTGATATGTGTTCGTGTATGTCTCTTGTACTTTTGTTATGTGTGATTGGACTGGTTTTGCAAGTTGAGTGATGGGTGATTGATTTTGTATGAAAGTTATTTTTTAGATGATGTGGTTCTGGAATGTGATATTTCTTAGTAACACAGACCAATCATTGTTTGACTCTCAGAGTGAAACACATTATTTGCATTTTAAGTTGACTCATTTATTTCTTTATAGAAATTTTTGTATTTTCTATTTTGATCATTATATTTGATTTCTTCTTACAAAACCTGGTTTGTATGTATTTATTTTAATTGTAATTGTGAAATGTTGATAATGTATATATTGTAATTATAGACATTATTGTAATAATGAAATATGTAATATATGATTTGTCTGTTGTATAATATTTCTCTTTGTTATTTGTATTATAATTATTTTATTTTGTTTTAGGTTTCTTCCAGACCTGACTAAAATACAGAACACACCATTCACTGTTGTTTTGATACACCAAAACCCCACCACTAAATATGCAAATAAATTTATTGAATTTTCATTTTCTGGCAATGTCTTAAAGGCCCAATATGCCTCAGAAATGCTTTTATTTCTATTTCTCAAAAGCTTTTTATTTTTGGTGTCCTTTTTTTTAGTGTTTAAAAACGTTACTCATTGGCCACTTACCTGAACCATTTTTTGCATACGTTGCAATTTGACAATCAGTACTGTTAAAGTGAATAAGTATTTTGCTATTGTTGTGACATTTTTTCCACATTTATCTACTACTTTTTTAGGTAACAAGCATCTAAAATTCTCTAAAACCATTTTTAAACTTTACAAAATTCATGTTTGCCCTTTCTAAAGATGTTTCTGAGGCATAATGTGCTTGGTTCTATTCTAAAGCGTCACAGATTTCTAATTGCCAAAGGAATAGAATGTAAGTTTACAAGAAAGATCAGAGTCAAAAATAAATTGCCGATGGATGCTAATGCAGTCTACAAAGGGCGTTTGTGACAAAGGGGAGATAAACTTACGTGAAATGATCGTAATTAGCGCAAGATTACATTCGGTCGTACGACTCTTTTGAAAAAATATATCACTGAAAATAATAATAAATTTACACAAACAGTGAAGTTATTGGCCATTTCAGTTATCTATCATTGCCTTTCCTTTCTTTGCATTCATTTTATTCTGAACTCACAAAAGAAAAAAAAAACGTGTGTTTGATAAAAACAAATAACAGTCGATTTACTACACTATTCAATTACAATCCGATTTAGAAGAAAAAAGTTCTTGTGTTTTGATTGTACTGCAATCTTTTTAGACGAAAATAGTTTCAAACACTCATATTACATTGTACATTCTAACTTCACCTTTGGAACATCCGACTCCTTTCCTGAACAAATATTATTACCGCGTCACTACTTACTACGAAACCAAAATGCAACAATAATTGTTTCTATTTATATCAAATATTCAACAGAACAACCACCGAGTGCTTCTATTTTAAACACTTTTGATTGAGTAAACGACGGGAAGCCGATTTATACGACTGCCGTATTCAATGTAAATATTTTAACACTTTTGTTCATCGACGTGTTGGAATGCAAGTACGTTGATTAATATTCGAGCCGAAGAACTGTTTTTGAAACGTGCAAATAAGAACGGCGACTTTTCAGTTCATAAACCAGCAATCGTATAAATACAAACAAAAATAAACAAGCGTCATAGAGTTGGAATATGAAACATCTTGCATACGCCGGGCCAGTGGGCTAAGAGGTGATTGCGTCCAGATCATTGCAAAAATATTAGGCAATAAGTAACTATGTTTAAAACTTTGTGTGTAATTTGTGTATATAAATTTACTTAAATTAGTGTTTAGTTATTATATTTGAAATATTATACGAAATGCATGGAATATATGTATAACACTATAACGGTATGCCTCATGTATATACATGTTTACTCTAAGTACCAGGTCATATTCGGACAGTTGAACTGGTCATGCAAATGCGCATATTTCATACATGTAAGTTATTTGTGACTTATTGTGGCAGGGAGGTTGTTATATTTCCGCCTCTTGCAAAACTGATGACCAAGAAGCAATGCAGTCAGCATTATTCAGCATAAAAGTACGGTCATTTCTAAATATGGGATATTTTATAGGTTTGGCCGGGGTTTCAGCTTACGAAACATGCGGAAATAGGTTAAACCGATCCGATTGGTCAAAAGTTGATTGCATGATTAATTAACCCCGATGACCTGCATAATTAACTGAACTTCATAAAATAGACCCGCGCACTCACAAAGCGCGCATTCTGGGTGATACTTTCTTAGATCACGTTAAGTCAAGTTTGCCAATTCAGCGTCAGGGCGGCTTTGATACTTTTGTTTGACTTATTCATTTAAGCTACGTACTTTTCTATTCGCAAGTTATAATTAATAAACGGAGAGCTATTTTGTTGATATACATTTATTTGTAATCGCGGAATAAGGGACTATTTAACCGAGAAATAAAAACTGTTTTAAAAGTTTGATTTGTATTAGTATTCTATCAGAACTTGTGCTGCTTTAATAAATTCCACTAGACACAACGCGAAGTACTCAATTGTCGTGCTATACAAAACCATTTTTGGTCGCCTTAAGACCAGGATAATTAAACTTTATTCCTAGTTTCAGATTGTCGCACGGAGTGGTGTAAACAGCCAAGCAAGGTAGAGTGCATACAGATCAACGGACCTGACAACGATAGACAGCAGTTGACAAGCGGCGTACAACAACAACAACAACAGCTCGATCAACGAACGTAAGTGGTTATTTTCTTTTAATCCTTAGGTGCTAAATTTAAATATGGCTCAAGCTAACCTGGCGAACGAAATGGCTATTCTAAATAATAAAATAGGTACTAATGGGATTACTCAATCCATCCCGCATTATGAAGGGGATCCAAAACAATTTAAAGAATGGCTTAAGGAAGTCGAAAAATACGCAGTCTTGGTTCAGGCGAATCAAGACCGGACTAAATTGATAGCTTACCAGAGCTGTAGGGGGCCTGTCTCAGACTTCATTCATAGGTATTTAACGGCTCATCCAAATAATACGTGGGCGCAGTTAAGAACTGAACTAACAAACAGGTTTAGCGAGATAAGTGATCCGCAACACGCATTACGATTATTACGAGACATTAAACAAGGACGGCATGAGTCCGTTCAAATTTATTCTGAGCGGTTGCTAACGCTAGCTGAAGACGCATTCGCTGGACAACAGGGGGGCTTAGCAGCTGTTGAGAGACATCTCATATCATATTTCGTTGACGGTCTCTTTTATGAATATTTACAATATAAGTGTTTACGAGATTCTCCGCAGACACTGCAGGCGGCTATTACGTCAGCCGTCAATGAACAGAACATTAGGAAACGGTTTTCTTTACGTACAGGGAGGGAGTACGGTCGACAAGGGACCGAACGTCCTTCTGCACGTAGTGAAGAGCCGATGGAAGTTGACCATCTTCGACCGACACGAATTTGCCAATTATGCAATTTAAAAGGCCACACGGCAAAATATTGTCGCGTGAATAAAGATAGAACCAGAAGCAAAAACGTAAATGCAATAGACCGCGGCGAATCAAAAGATTCGAACCGAGTATGTTGGGCTTGTGGCGAGCGAGGCCACATTCGCGTAAATTGCCGTAAAAAATCGCAAAGTAGTAAAAATGATGAACGCAAACATTTAAACTAGATGTCTCCTCGTATGTAGAAGCCGATATGGGGAGTAGTCGAATTAGTACTAACAAAAACAGTAAATTGGGAAATAATAAATTAATTAGTAAAGAAGATAGTAATAAAAGTAATTGTAGGAAAACTTGTAGTTATAATGTTAATTTATCTGGTAACCCTGTATCTTGTCTTGTTAAGATAGGAAAATGTAAACTTAGGGCTTTAGTTGATTCAGGGGCAGAAGTTAGTTTATTACATAAACGTATTTATGATACTTTGTCTAATAAACCTAGGTTGAATAAAAAACATAATATAACTTTACAGTCGGTTAGTGGTAATCAACTTAAAGTTATAGGTAGCGTAGACTTACCATTTAAAATTGGAGGAACAAAATTACATCATAAGTTTCTCGTAGTATCTGACATGACTAAAAATGTTATTTTAGGAAAAGATTGGTTATTTAAATTTGGAGTTCGTTTGTATTGCGACCTTCAAAGATTAAGAATAGGGAAAACATATGTTCCGTTAGAAGAAGATTTACATATTCATTCAATAGTTAGGTTAAAATCAAATAGTGTTCTGAAACCTCAAACAAGTTATACTTTATTAGGTAAAATAAAGGAAAATCCGCATTTTAAACCGGCATTGTACGAATTGACACAAGTCAATGAAGGCTTCATAACCTCCGAACCGGGGTTAATTGTTTCTAATTGTGTAGTTAACGTAGGCGTAGATAGGTCGTTACCTTTACTTGTCATAAATAATACTAATAAAACCATAAAACTTAGGAAAGGCTGTATTATGGCAAAAATTGAGAGCATAGCTGAGGTCGACATAGTGACACCGGGTAAAAATGACAATAAAACGCATGACGCGTCGTCGACTAGACATACAAATGTAGGTGAACTTTTGTCTAAGGTCAAATGTCCGAAAGAGTATGAACAGGTAATTAAATCATTAATACAGAAAAACTCCGATGTCTTTGCCGCTAGCGACCTTGAGTTAGGCCAAACAAATACAATAACAATGAAGATTGATACTGGTAGTTCTGAACCTATTAAATCGAAACCATACTTTACTCCACTTAAAGATCGACCAATAGTTGAGAAAGCTTTAAAGGACATGCAAACGGCTGGTATTATTGAACGTTCACAGAGTCCCTATGCCTCACCGATTGTTCTTGTTTCGAAACGCGATGGAAGTAAACGTTTCTGTGTAGACTTCCGTAAATTAAATAAAGTTACAAAAAGAAATTCTTGGCCATTACCTAAGATTGATGAAATACTTGCACAGCTGGGTGGATGTAAATTCTTTACAAGTCTTGACTGCTTAAGTGGTTACTGGCAGGTTAAGATGCACCCTGACTCTAAGGAAAAGACAGCTTTTACGACCATGGGGAAGTTATTTCATTTTCGAGTATTACCATTTGGTCTATGTAACGCTCCTGCAATATTCCAAGAACTGATGTCGATAGTTCTACAAGATTATGAATCTTTTGCTCTTTGTTATTTAGATGATGTGCTTATCATAAGTTCTACACTTGAGTCTCACTTAGAGCACATTCAATTAGTGTTCAATAGATTTAGGGAACACAATTTAAAGCTTAAAGTTCAGAAATGTTCTTTCCTCCAGCCTGAAACAAATTATTTAGGTTATGTTATTAGTGAAAAAGGAATCAAGCCTGATCCCGAGAAAGTTAAAGCTATAGAAAGCATGGTTGCACCGGCTTGTGTAAGAGAAGTCAGAGCTTTTATTGGACTGTGTAGTTATTATCGAAGAATAATAGCTGGGTTTTCCGAAATAGCCGAACCACTAATTGCTCTTACACGCAAATTTGCACGCTTTAAATGGACCGATGAGTGTCAGAAAAGCTTCCAGTCTCTAAAAGATGCTTTAACAAAGATTCCTTACTTAACTCATCCAGATATAAATAAAGGCTATATAATATATACAGATGCCTCAGATATAACATGTGGCAGTGTACTCTGTCAAGAGTGTGAACCGGAAGAGAGTGTTCTACCAGGTGTAACTACCGAAAGACCGATACATTATCTTTCGCATAAATTAAGTAAAACGCAACAACGTTATAGTACACTTGAAAAAGAATGCTTCGCAATTAAATATGCACTTGAGAAATTTCATCCGTATATACATAATACAAAAGTGATAGTACGCACCGACCATATGCCACTTAAATACTTGTTAAACTCTCCTATGCAAAATAGAAAAGTTCAAATGTGGGCTCTTGCAATTGAGGGCTATGATGTTGAAATAGAGTACATTAAAGGTACTGCTAACACTTGTGCCGATATGCTATCTAGGGTTATTCACCCACCATTAACTCCAAAAGAGGAGTTGGAAATAGATCGCATGGCCGATATACCCGATCAAACGCTAAATGTTAGTGCAGTGAACACTAATCGCGTTGATATGCAACAGATTACCGACCACGTTGATGATGAGTCTCCGACGCAAATCGATAAACCGACATTCGATTTGTTAGAAATTGACATGAGCAAAGAACAAGAAAATGACGATAAATTATTGACGATTAAGAAGCAGCTTAAAAAGGACGATCCGTCTAAATCGATAAGTCGATATGTTATTATTGACGACATCTTATACTTTATATCTGAACCAGATAATGATCCAATATTAAGGTTATGTGTACCAGCTCAACTACAAGAATTAGTTCTTAAACAATATCATTCCGTAGGTCATTTAGGTTTAGATAAATGTTATGACGCAATCAAGAGAAAATATTTCTGGTCTAATTTATATAGACACGTAAATGATTATATTTCTAAATGTGTTGATTGTCAAATGAGGGCGCAAAGCAATCAAAAGGTCCCAGTACAAGATACAACTGTACCAAATTATCCATTTTCTCGTGTATCAATGGATCTCACAGGACCGCTTAAAACTACTCTTAGTGGAAATAAATATGTTCTAGCTTTTGTAGATCATTTAACGGGATATGCAGAATGCTATGCCATTAAGAATAAAACAGCAGAAATAGTTGCACAAATAATTATTGATGAGTTATTTCCTAGACACTCCGCTATTACTCAGCTCGTTTCCGACAACGGTGGTGAATTCACTGGTGACGTCATCTCCTACGTCACAGCCGAGTTGAATATGGCACATATTAAAACATCTTTTTATAATCCTAGGGCAAATTCAAAAGTAGAAAGATTCTTTAGAACTTTTAAGGATATAATGTCAAAAACTACTGATCACGATAATTGGGACACCATGTTATCCCAATGTGTGGCGGCATACAATATGTTTCCAAGCGAAAGTACCGGTTTCTCACCGTTCTTTCTGCTTTATGGACGTGAACCATATCTTCCTCTTGACACCATATTAAAACCCCGTCGTAGATATATGGGTGAAGAAGAACATAAGATTGCTCTTGAACAACAGCATAAAGCGTTTAAGATTGCCCATCGAAATCTTAAGAAAGCTAAGAGAAGACGTAACGATTATGCCAATAAAAACGCAACAGAAGTAAGCCTAGACGTAGGTCAAGCCGTACTTCTTAAAAATAATGCCCGAAAAAGTAAACTGGATCATAGGTACACTCCTTATTACCGTATAATTGAAAAGAAAACGCCCGTGACCTTTGTCATAAAGAATATCTTGACAGGTAAATCTGTGCATGCTCATGCAAGAAACATTAAAAAAGCAACGGTCGATGATTGGGACGTAAGTGACCTAAGAACTGATGAGAGGTTAAGAAGGGCAGCCTATGTCGTGCCACCCTCTGAATCAGATTCTGAGAGCTCGGATTCAAGCTCTAATGATGAAAGACCGAAACGTCTTAATAATCGTGTCAAACGATTGCGAAGAGAGAGATCTGACTCCTCTGCCAGTGACACGAGTGATATTCCGCTTGCAGAAGTGCAAAGGAAATTGAGACGTAAAAGGTTAAGAGAAAATTCAATTTCTGATAATGACACTCCTTTGACGAAATTAAGAAAACAGGTAGAGCTTAAGCGTTCTGTTAAGCTACCTGATATTAATAATTCTTACTCAGGTTCCGAGTACGAACCCATGGACGTAAGTGAAAATGATAGACCTAGTACCGCTCAAATTAATGCCGTACAACAGTCTAAGTATGATAATTCTGTAGCTAATAATGTAAGCTTAAGTAGTAACAGAACTCAGCTTAAGAGTCTGTTTGAGTCAATTGCCGCAATGTTGTAATGTATTTTAACATTTTGTGGTACTCTATATGTCGTGTAGATTAGTTGATTCTCTGTAGACCGATTGTGGTTTGAGCGCTAATTTAAAGTACATATAGGATAATGAAACATAATTTGGTGCTTTATGAATTAAGCAGGCTGAGTAGGCTTTCCATAGTTTCATTATGTTGGATTTAGATTTATGTGTTACGACGCATAATCTTGTATAGATAGGTAACTGGTATTATGTATTGTATATATCTAGTTATGTGTTGTAGTTTAAGTTATTTACGTGTTAAGGTAAGCAGTAAGATAGTTATGATAACCCGTACGTTACGATAGTGACAAGTTCATCATTAAAAAGAACTCCGTAATTGTCATATTATGATGATTATTGTTTTGTAATTGCGTTAATGTCATAAGTTATGATTACGCGTGATTGATATTTGGACTTAATTAATGCGATGCGTAATAAACGTCCGACATTTGTATTTCAGGTACGTCACGATGAAACCGTTCGTGGTTCTCTCTTTATTACTCATGTGTTATCTTTCAAATTGTTGTATGTCTTATTTGTTAAGAGAAAATGTCTTATTTTTCAAAACAAATCGTGTTAGTCTCACGCATGATTCTTGGCGCATAGCTTTAACATTAGATTTAGAGCCTTATGATATTTTTATAAGAAAAGTATCGGAAGATTCGAAAGAAATAGAACAACTCATACGAACAACCGTACAAAGATACCAAGGAAATAAAGATAATCCTAACTTTGTAGTCACCTTTAAGGGATTAGAACAAGAAGTATCTCGTTTGACGCATACATATCAAACATTACGAGCAAAATTTCATAACAATAAATTTATTAGGCAGAAACGCTCTTTATTACCGTTTTTAGGAAAAATTATCGGTTGGGTCGCCGGTATGTCAACCGATGATGAATTAAACTCTGTTCGTAGAAACGTGATAAATTTAGAGAAAACACAAAAAGCGATATTACATGTTGTCGACGAAAACTTAACCGTCTTGAATGTTACTCGCCGATCGACGATCGAAAATCGTGAAACGATCAATCAGATATTGACGTCTTTAGAACAAATGAGTACGGATTTCTCTAAATATAAAGATCGTGTTCATCTTGAAGTTGTTAAGATAACCGAATTTGTTCAAACTTATTTAAGAGTTTCGCATATTGTACAAAATTTCAGAGAAATCATAGAGCGCGGTTTTATATTATATGAACACCTAAGTTCACAGTTGAACGCTGTAGCATTATCTCATCTTAGTCCCGTGTTAATAGAACCGAGCGAGTTAAGTATAATATTACATGAGATAAAACAACAATTACCTCCGATGTTAAAATTACCTTTTACCGAAGAAAAAGATTTTTGGTTATATTACCGTAATTTACCATGTAGCGGTGCGTTAATTGATAACCAGATTGTAATAGTATTATATATTCCGGTCGCGGAAATGTACGAACAATTCGATATATATCACATGGCTTCGTTACCGCTTCCGATTAATATTACCGAACAGAAAATCGAATCGACTATGGTCGCAGATTATAAACTTCATGGTGTAGGTTTAGCTATTAATGAACAAAGAACTAGATTTGCTATTTTAAATAAGGACGAATTAAGTAGTTGTTCCGTTCAAGGGCTCCCATATTGCCGATTCAGTTCAGCGTTATATTCAGTCGCTACAACTAAGAAATGTCCGATTCATCTATTTTTACACAGTAAAGATAAAATTAAGAAGTATTGTCACAAAACAGTAGTACCTAATGTTGCGTTGCCAACAGGCTAAAGTCATTGGTAATTTTGGCTCTTTACGCAACAGTAACAAAGTTTTTATTAAAATGTCGTCGTATTTCTAATGTACGTTGAGTTATTTGTTCAAAGGGAGTTGATATTTTTAAAGTCCCTGTGGGTTTGCATAGAAGGGGGGATACGCTTTTTTTTTAACTAGTCAAATAAAAATAAATGCATATAAATTACTTCGGACGGGAAAATTTTATCAGGGAAACCTTAAGAAAGAGGGCAGATTTATGGCAAGTTTTTCGTTAAACTTCCAAATTTAAAACCCTATCGAAATACCTAAAAAAACGAAGCAAATCGAGTACAGCCTTTTACAAAAACTGGAAAGCACATTGCCGTTTAAAAGGGAAGAAAAAAAGGTTTAAACATTCATTTCCCTCAGGGTTTATATTTCCCAATTATTTTAGTTTATTATTTTATTAGGGGTAGCCATGTTCGTCTTCTGTAGATATGTCCGTTTAGGCAAATTCAAGGGTTGTATAGGCAATGCGAAATTTGGCACCTTGGGTGTAAAGAAAGAACCTTCTTACGCTGTAACCTATAACAGAGCTAACGAAATGTCATCGATTGTGAAGAGTGCTCCTCCGATCACAGACAAGATTGCCGAAGAATACATTGCGCTCTACCCAAGCTTGAAAGCTGATAACACCAAAAACTCCGAATAACTAACTTTTATGAATATTATATATGTTGTGAACTTTGCATATATATAGCTGACAATCGCTTATCGATATACATAGTGCGATGACTGTAAATAGAGACTATTGTGTTAAATTGCTCTCCTTCAGAGATATTTACATTATCCTGTCACGACATGGATATATAATGATGTGAACTATCTATTTATGATGCATATAACAATTATATGACAATAATAATCAGTGATGGACACTTCCGAAGATATCTACATAAATAACGATATAACATTTATTTCACTGATGTTGACCTTAAACTAATAATTACCAGGTCATATTGTGGACACGTTGTGTTGCCAATGGGCGAAAACATCGATATAAACTGTTGTTAATAACTCTCATAATCTCACGCTACGTATTCATGAGATTATTTCAGATGATTTCGACGCACTGGTTTCTGGACGACGAATGACGTTATCCTGTCTCAGATGTCTAACTACCGTAACAGATGACGACAGATGTCTCATTGAGGTCCAACAACATCTACGATGTACTTCCGATGTTCTACGATGTATTTCCGATGTACTACGATGTACCCCAGATGGTCCATGGACAGCAACAACGAAAAAAAAAATAAACGCGTGGTTTTCTATGTATAACAAATAAAAAAAAATCATTTTGAAATGTTTTATATACGCGCGGATTGTATATTCAATTGTTTTGTAAAGCTCTCCTACTATGTAAGGTTGTCACGTATTTTTGAAGGCATACCTTACGTATATTTTAAATTCAAGTTAAAAATAAATTACAATTAAATTTATTTTTTTAACATAGGGAGGCATATAACACTATAACGGTATGCCTCATGTATATACATGTTTACTCTAAGTACCAGGTCATATTCGGACAGTTGAACTGGTCATGCAAATGCGCATATTTCATACATGTAAGTTATTTGTGACTTATTGTGGTAGGGAGGTTGTTATATTTCCGCCTCTTGCAAAACTGATGACCAAGAAGCATGCAGTCAGCATTATTCAGCACAAAAGTACGGTCATTTCTAAATATGGGATATTTTATAGGTTTGGCCGGGGTTTCAGCTTACGAAACATGCGGAAATAGGTTAAACCGATCCGATTGGTCAAAAGTTGATTGCATGATTAATTAACCCCGATGACCTGCATAATTAACTGAACTTCATAAAATAGACCCGCGCACTCACAAAGCGCGCATTCTGGGTGATACTTTCTTAGATCACGTTAAGTCAAGTTTGCCAATTCAGCGTCAGGGCGGCTTTGATACTTTTGTTTGACTTATTCATTTAAGCTACGTACTTTTCTATTCGCAAGTTATAATTAATAAACGGAGAGCTATTTTGTTGATATATACATTTATTTGTAATCGCGGAATAAGGGACTATTTAACCGAGAAATAAAAACTGTTTTTAAAAGTTTGATTTGTATTAGTATTCTATCAGAACTTGTGCTGCTTTAATAAATTCCACTAGACACAACGCGAAGTACTCAATTGTCGTGCTTTTTTAATTATTGCCCTTTGTTTTTTTTTACACTTTGAACATTGTCCGGGACATAACTCTAAAACTATAAGAGGTATCAACATAAAACTTTGTAGGTAGATAGATCTCATTGATAAGGTGTGCAGTGCACAAGAACCGTAACTCTGCCTTGCCTAATTTTTAAATTATTGCCCTTTGTTATTTTTACACTTTGAACTTTGTCCGGGACATAACTCTAAAACTATAAGAGGTATCAACATGAAATATATCTCACTGATTACGTATGCAGTGCACAAGAAACGTAACTCTGCCTTGCCTAATACTTGAATTATTGCCCTTTGTTTATTTGTACACTTTGAACTTTGTTCGGGACGTAACTCTAAAATTATAAGAGTTGTCAACATGAAACTTTGCAGATAGATAGATCTCATTGATTAGGTTTGCAGTGCACAGGAACCGTTACTCTGTCTTGCCTTATCTTGGAGTTATTGCCCTTTGTTCATTTTGACACTTTTGAGCATCACCCGGTTCAACCGGTTCATGTTTCACAGTGCAATTGGAAGGGGACTCCTTCCAAAGTGTGGACATCACTTTCTTACATAGGTACTTAATGACGGCTCTGATTTCAACTTTCTCCATTTGGTCTAAATGACACACCCCTCTACTGATCAAAGTGCGTTTTATGTTAAAACCGCGTGAAACTCGGTCAGTAATCTTCAATAAGTTATCGGTATCGACATATCGTGTGTAAATGTCAATGTAGTGTATATCGGACCGAGAACTTTTTTATCATACCTCGTAGAAGTTCTGTAATGAAAGGAAACCCTTTTTGTCACAAACCATTTATATCTATAACGTCTGATTACTTCCATTCAATTTTTGTCCAGTTAAGTTTTGCGGAGGTCCTTAATTGTGGCTGAAATTTATCAGGGGGGGGGGGCTGCGCTAGATGTGAAGTTGCCCTTCCTTGTCCATGATTGTCTTTAACCAGGTTTTCCGAAGGAAAAAACTGGTTATTAGATTGAGGTATGTCGGCGGGCGGGCGGGTGGACGAGCGGGCGGGCGTAAACAATTTCTTCTGTGCGCAACTCCTCCTACATTTTTCAACGGATTTTGACCAAACTTTCACAGAAGCTTTGACATCAAGTGCCCTGGTGCATATTGTCAGGGTTTTGTGATTGGATAATATTTGACCTAATTATGACCCTTTGTTTTTTTCCTTATATAGAATATATAGTGATCAATTTCTTCTGTGCGCAACTCCTCCTAAATTTCTCAAAGGATTTTGTTCAAACTATCACAAAAGCTTTTTCATCAAGTGTCCTGATGCATTTTGTTGGGATTTTGTGATTGGATAATTTTTTTTACCTAATTATGGCCCTTTGTTGTTTTTCCTTATGTAGAGTATATAGTGAACAATTTCTTCTGTGCGCACTCCTCCTACATTTCCCAAGGGATTTTGTTCAAACTTTCACAGAAGCTTTGTCATCAAGTGCTCTGCTGCTTATTGTTTTTTTTTTGTGATTGGATAATTTTTTACCTAATTATAGCCCTTTGTTTTTTTCTTTATATAGAGTATATAGTGAACAATTTCTTCTGTTCGCAACTCCTTCTACATTTCTCAAGTGATGTTGTTCAAACTTTCACAGAAGCTTTGTCATCAAGTGGCTTGATGCTTATTGTTGGTTTTTGTGATTGGATAATTTTTTACCTAATTATGGCCCTTTGTTTTTTTTATATAGAGTATATAGCGAACAAATTCTTCTGTTCGCAACTTCTACATTTCTCAAGGGGTTTTGTTCAAACTTTCACAGATTAGCTTTGTCTTCAAGTGCCCTGATGCATATTGTCAGGGTTTTGGGATTGGATAAGTTTTCACGTTATTATGGCCCTTTGTTTTTTCCATTTAATTTAATTATTCGTGTAATTTATCCTTTTAATCACAACAAACTTTATTTAGTTATAAAACAGAAACTATCTAGGTTGTTGCATGCCTGCCAGCTCATCTGTCTGCTTTTGGGTCCTGTAGAGTCAAAGTCAAGGTCATTGTTGCTAAAATAGAAAATATTTTTCCAGTCAGGTCAATGTTACTAAAATAGAAAATAGGTTTCCGGTCAATAACTAGTTTGGAATAAGATATTTTTATGAAATTTGGTGTAAAGCATGTTTTTATAAAGACCTCACTTGGGATGGTTTTTGGCCCCCTAAGGTCAAGGTTACAGTTACTTAAAATAGAAAATTCCTTTTTCATGATTTACATTGCACTTAGTTACTTTGTTTGTTGCTTGTATTTGTATTTCAACTACAACATATTTATCAACAATGGTGATAATTGAAAACCTGGTTTCGTGGCATTGCCATGTTTCTTGTCATTTTATTTTATTGGTTAGTTTGTTTTACAACCATAAAGCTCGTGTGTATTTCTTTTAATTACATGCTTCTTAAGTCATTACTAAAACATCAAGAAACGTAAAGACGTTGTCACATTATAAATAAGAGATTCTGATGCCATCACCGACATTTTGTTGAATCAAGTCGTGGGACAGAATCTTTCACCTAAAGTCTGTGTGATTCTTATAAGAGAGAAAAGTAAAATTCACCAAAATGACAAAATGTAAATTTGTTTGTTTCAAAATATGAACCTGACCAGCTTTTATCTTTAATATCTACATCAAATGAGAAGCTATGAAGATTATACCATAACCGAGTGCATCACATACATTGCATTAATGAATGGACATATTAAAGTTTTCCCAGAAAGTAATGTCATTTCATTCTGTTCTATTCTGTTTTCTTAGAGTAGTGAAATTTTTTTTTACAAATTCTTTCACAACGTCGAAATGACGTCTTCATATAAGCACAGTTTATTCTAAAAGTATGCCATTTTGGAGCATGCGACTCACCAGGCACTCCCACCTTGCCAGATGAAAATTCAGGCTTGGGTAAAACTAACGGAAACACCTGTTTGATATGAAAAAGATATACATTTGTATTAACGTGACGTTGTGACCCTTGTTTAAGAATAAAATGTGAATGGAGCTGGAAGATAATGCTTCGCTTACAAATAAATGGTGTTTTTCATAAATATAATTCGAATACTATAGTGGTGTTTTAATTCCGTTGAGAAAATATTTATATTCAGTCTCATCCACAGCATCATATACAAAATAACCCTGAAAATCGTTCAACATTTATTGTACCAGAGGAAGTTAAAATAGAAATCTACATGCATCAAATTCCTTTGATTGTACTACCAGTAATTCATTTTCAACGAATCAGTTAGAATGCGTATAGAAAACGTAACACACCGTTGTAAGTTGTATTAGTGTCATGACGTTTTGAATTGACACTCAAAATTTCAACAATAAAGAACAAAATTAAATTATAATTGTTGAACTTGTGATCGATGCTGTCTACTACTAAGCTAGTCTGCCTTGTTATATGGTCGTATGAAAAAGACATCTCAATACTTTTAATATAATGTAACCAGAAATGGTTTTTTCCTTGTGGAAATGATGATTTTCACGTTTTGGTGATAAAACTGAAAATATGTCCTACTATTATATTTCGGGTAAAATTCGAAATAGTTGCTGGTCCTGTTAAACTGCATAATGACAATGATCAAAATCACTAAACGCCGTTAATACATAAAATACTGGTATACATGTATGCCATTAATAGTTTTTGCTTAATTGTTTTAGTTAAAGTTATCAAGTACTTTATTGTATTATATAACAGAGTATGAATGAAGTCTAGTAACTAGATACATATTTAGACCACAGTTCTAGTTGCAATCTCTCGTGTATGTAACATAATTATTATTTACGAAGTGTTTATCTGAGTTTGTGTGCAGAGTCTCCCATGACAAATGACACGTTTTGCTGGTCTTGTAATACTCTGCAGTTCTGCAAACAAAACTTTTCTCCGTGGTACAATTTTGAACACAATCTTCTAGTGAGATAGTTCTTAAAGTTTTAGTGTTAAAATAGTCCAACAATGCGTACATTTCAACCTGGTAAGTGTTACCATACCCGTAGTCTCCACAGTCTGAAAATCAAGATAATTTGAAAAAAAAAGAAATATGCATATAAGATGAAATTTTCAAATTTATTATATGCTAATAAATGAAATATTGATGAAATAAAATGCGATTTTCATTTTCAGTATTTTTACTGTAAAAATAGTTATCACTACAATGAAATATATTTTCTGTATTTCCACTGGTGTCTTGCCGGATTACTTCTTCTAAATTTAGCCAAAACACTACTTTAAGGGGTTTAAAAAAACAGGAAATATATTCATGTATATAATAAACAGAAAATCCAGGTTCCTTCTATAAATACATGATCATTTTTCATCTAACGGTATGAGAACTATCATACATCACTCATGGCTACCACCACTCATGAAATATTTATTTTCATACCAATTTCATTTATTGAAAGAGCTTAAATATCCTCTATCAATCAAAAATTAAGATAATTAAAGTTTTGTAGGGAAAAAAATGATGGAAATGCAAACTCATAAAGACATAGGGTGTAAACGGCGGATTTAACATTCCGTTAAGATCATGCGTGTTTTATGAAACAAATGTAAATATGCATATATGCTTTTTAAAATTTCCCGTCGATTCTTTCCGTGAATTAATTAGATCTACGAGTATATCTTTATCAGAAACCCAATCATTTACAAGTGACGCAAAAGAAACGTTTACATGTATTGCATTGAAAATGCAAGCAAATACGTGTAATATAAGTGGCGCTCTGTTACTGTTTACAGTTTTTGTTATATTGAGGCATATCCCTGTTGACAGATTTTGTAATATTGAGACCCATCCCCGTTGTCAGATTTGTTTTATTGTGGCCCATATTCTGTTTGTCAGATTTGTAATAGAGTGGCCCATCCCTGATTTCAGATTTAAAAGTATTGAGGCCCATCCCTGATTTCACATTTTATTATAATATTGATCCATATCCCTGATGTGAGATTTTATTATATTGTGGCATATCCCTGATGGCAGATTTTATTATATTTATGCCCATTCCTGTTGTGAGATCTTATTATATTGAGGTCAATCCCTGATGTCAGATTTTATTATATTGAGGTCCATTTCTGTTTTCAGATTTGCAATATTGAGGTTCATCCCTGTTGTCAGATTTTATTATATCGAGGCATATCACTGTTGTCAGGTTTTATTTTATTGAGGCCCATCTCTGTAGTCAGACTTAATTTTATTGAGGCCCATCTCTGTGGATTTTGAGGGATATCCCTGTTGTCAGATTTTAATATACTGAGGCATATCCCTGTTGTCAGATTTTATTATATTGAGGCATACCCCTGTTGTCAGGTTTTATTATATAGATGTCCATCCATGTTGTCAGATTTTTTTCATATTGAGGTATATCCCTGTTTTCGGATTTGGAACATTGAGGATCGTCACTGTTGTCAGACAAAACAGTTGATGAAAAATGTAAAATCACAAGTATAATATGTGCACAATATTTTTGACTTTATTTTCAGCATTCATTTCATTTATGCCACGTTTATTGTTTTTTATGTTCGGATAATCATGAAGTTTTCAGACACTCATTGAAATGCTTCATATAATCTTTGAAAAACACTTTATGTTAAACATACCAGATCTTAAACTTACCAGAGAGACATGTTTTCGTGTCATGGTGGTAGCTCATGCCAGGTTTACATTTACAAGACATCCATTTACATTCGGAATTCTTAACGTCACTGCACGTCTCGTTTGTTTGACAAAATTGTCTCATCGAACTTGAAGCCGGGAGAATTTTCTCCTCTTGTAAACTGGAAACCTGTTATATAAGTTATAAACCGTAAATATATCTTAAAACGAACATTTATACGGTGTTTCGTTAGGGCCTGCGCGTTTTCTCTGAGATCGGAAAGCGCGAAACATGACGATGGTGACAGTACGACAGTTTGATGGTGACAGTACTGTCGTACAGTACTGTCGTACTGTCACAATCGTACTGTCGTTTTTGCCACTATCGTACTCTTGTACTGTCACCATCGTACTGTCGTACTGTCACCATCGTACTGTCGTTTTGTCACCAACGTACTGTCGTTTGGTCAACATCGTACTTTCGCTTACCTATCGAGCATGCGTAAACATTTCATTCAACATGGCTGCAAAACTTTGAACTGATACCGCCGTTTAATAAAAAAAAATCTTTACTCTTTCAAAGATCAACTATCAAGGAAATCGAAAGTTAACAGAATCAAAATCAATTCTACATAAATAAAGAGCTTTATGAAAAAAATGTACACATGTCTTTTCATAATTTGTATTTCAACAGATAGGCCTCATCTAGAAATTTTGTATTGACTAATTTGTAAAATATTGTATTTTATTTAAAGACCTGGATTATCAAATCACTCTCATCAATACAAGAATTTACTTATATATATCACCAATAAAGGAACATGCCCGGGAAGCACCGTCTGGTTAGCTTAATATTATGTAAAGCAATGAACTGTGAATCGGGCGATTTCAGGTGGTCATTTTCACTGTGATTTGCCATAATTCCTTTCAACGGCCGTTCACAATGAACCTTTGCTCTGGCAGGTACATAAGTAGTACCAGTTCCTTGCGAAAGTGAAGGCATCTACGTCGTAGTACTGATAAACTGCTTGCACCATGCGTATGTGAATTCGAAGTGGTTGACTGCCGTGATCCGAAAGGTAAACTACAAATACCACCATGGCAGGTCAAGCATTACTTTATGTGGCTGACCAGTATAAATTTTGATAGCTCATTATAAACAAATGTATTCGGGTAGCAAAAGTTAAAAAATCCAAATCACTTACTTTCTTGACGAAGTTATCGAACTCTTGTTGCAACATATCTACTTTGTTAGCAAATTTGGAATGATCCTTTTTTCTTTCTTCCGCCTCTTGCTCTACTGTTTTCTTTATGACTGTGACCTCACTTTGAACAGATACTAGATTAATCTCTGCCTTGATAATTCTTTCCAAAGTTTGAGCCTCATAGTGGTATCTTGAACATTGCTGCTCTTCTATCAGGGCACCTATATATAGTGACCATCAAACACTTCATAATGCTGATTCTAACTGGCAGATATATAATTTGGCAATTGGTCAGTTGACTAATGTTTGAATGTAAGAAAAACAAATTCATCAAATACATCTAAAATCATATTAGATAGTAATTAAAAATAATAAGAGAAACCATTTAAAATATATAGCAGTTTACCTGAAGCAAAGTATCCAGTGAAGAAGAAACTATAAACTACAAGTAAATACAGCATCATCATTTCCCCAAGTTTGTTACTTCTCCGTGCACAGGATTCTTCGGAATGATTAGAAAATGCACAATGTGCTACATAAAAGTAAAAAAAAAAATTATTGTCGTTACAAAGATGAATCGGAAACAGAAATATTTTGGTAAGTTATGATTTTCCTGTCACTTGACAGTTTTACCAATTAGATACTAGCAAATGGTATAATTAGTAAAACAACCTACTTATAGCAACATTTTAGAAATACATTTGTGGTAAAACTTAAGTAGAAGGAAGGGATTAATGGTCGACATCCTTTCTTTTAAACAAACACGGGACACTAGTGTAATATAAGTTGAGCATTATAAATATACAAAAAAAATACAAGTAAGCTTTTAAAAAGAAGCATGCGGGAGGTATTTTGCAGCTGTTGAAGATTTGTCTACTTGTTCAAATGGCGGGAAAGTAAGAACTACTGATTGGTCGAATTGCATCTGCGAACAATAGAAACATATCGGCTTTTTCCGCCAGTTTTGGATAAGCTCAAATTAGGAATAATCGGCATGTTACGATATCACCATGTTTTTTTCTTTTAAAGAAATCTGTCTTAACACGTTTTCGCTGAAAATGTCTATCATTTAAAACACTATGCTTGTATGATAAATGATAAGTCCAAGTGAAAGCATGATAATAAAATCAATTAAACTTATAGTATGCATTATTATATTATACAGAAATACATAAATGAACATGTTTACTCAATAGCATAACGACTTGTTCAACAATGCAACTTAGTGCAATATATACTTGCATAAAGTAAATATATTTGTACTATTTGTGGTATACAATATCAATACACTTACTTTTGATAAAATTCTTTTAACTTATTAACAGCAGAAAAATAATCTGAGAAAATCCCTTTTCGAACTTTACAAAATATAGCTCAACTTTTAAAGTATCCTGAATATAGATTAAGCAGTATGGACTTTGCACGACCTCTTGTTAAGCGACTACAAGCATGCCTCCGAAAGCTGATTCTACCGACATTTACTGGCGCGCGACATTAAGCTACGAGACCTTACCTAATTTGGAACGAGGAATGATCATAATTAAAAATAACTGAACTGTACCATCGACCTAGACTGTCAATAATTCAATTTTTACAAAAAAATAAGTAAAATATACCAGCTTGGATATACCATCCTAAAAACAATACTCATTGGAGAGGACTTGTTTCAAATTTCACAATATTGTAGCTATTATTTATGTTTACTGATACCATGTTTCAAAATCGCTATTCACATGACAATAATCAATGTATACAGTCTAAAGGAATATATACGGAATTAAACACTGTTTATAGTGTTAAATGTTACGTACATATAACTGATAATTTCCGATTTTTCCTATAACCTATTTGTCCATCCCGATGTTATCTGATGACCAATCAAAAGAGGCACGCAGTCCGGCTATCCTAGCAATCTGAAGCAATGTGTATACTACTTTAAATGGGACAGTCTAGTTGGAAACAATTTAGAATGGTATACCTACAAAAAAAAATTATTTACGATGACAAGTTATAAAAATGATGACAATTTATGCAGGGTACTTCTTTCGAGGTTTTTTTTTATCTTTAGAATATCTTTTGAATGTCTTAATTTTCTTTTTTTTCATATTTCCATACTGCTTATGCTATTTTTTATAAATATAATTTGCCATTAGCTTTCTCTTCCCTGATATGTCGTTTGATGTGTTTGTTTTTGCGTGAATGATTATGTTGTATTAGATGTTGTGTTAATTGTTTTGTGGGTTGTTGTGTTGTGTTGTTTAGTGTGTGCTTGTCTTGTTGATTATTGTGTGCATTGTTCTGTTTATTGTTTTGTTGATTGTTCTTTCTGTTGCTGTGTTGATTATTCTGTCAGATGTTGTGTATATTTTTTGTCGGTTGTTGTGTTGGTTCTTGTGCAGCGTTAAGTATTTATTTTTTGCTCTGATACGAGACTTATTTGTCACAATAGGACATACGAGTATATCATGACTGATGTTGTTGCGCCTTCTTTGTCAATTCATATCATTCAGCCTTGTGCCCTTTGTTATACATGACCCTTATTGTATTGTCTTGAAGGCTTGCATTTCATGTATCATATCTTGTGCTAGATCTTTGTTAACATGTTTCCATTTCTTGTTGCATGGGTGACTCATTTCACAAAAATAGCATTTTATTGCGATTTTGCGATCTGTTAAACTAAACAACGCCGTGCAAACGCAGTCTAGTGTGACAGGGCCTTAACAGAGTTTGAGTAAATTCTAGTAACTAGATACATATTTGGACCACAGTTCTAGTTGCAATCTCTGGTGTATGTATCATAATCCTTATTTTTGCTGTGGCTATCAGAATTTGTGTGCAGAGTTTCCCACGACAAATAACATCTTTTTTTGAACTTCCAATACTCTGCAGTTCTGCAAACGAAACTTTTTTCCGTTGTACATCTTTGAACACAATCTTCTTGTGAGATAGTTTCAAAAGTTTTAGTGGAAAAACCTGTCAACAATGCGCCCATTTCAACCTGGTAAGTGTTACCATACCCGTAGTCTTCACAATCTGAAATCAAGTTAATTTGAAAAAAAAATGGATGAAAAAGATGAAATATTGCTATTTATTTTACACTTTTAAATGACATTTTGATTAAAAAATTGCGTATTTTCATTTTCAGTATTTTATTGTAAAAGTTTATTTTTCACTGCAGTGAAACATATTTCCGTATTTTCACTGGTGTTTTGTCGGACTACATGCGTCCAAATTTAGCCAAAACACAAAATTTAAGGGGATGTCTCTTAAATTGTAATGTCAAAGAAGAGAAAAATATATATAATAAACAGAAATTTCAGTTTTTTTTCTATTTTTCTATAAATACATCATTATTGGCTACCACCACTCTATTTTCATACCATTTTTTTAATAGAATAAGCTTAGATATCCTCTATAAATGAAAAATTAAGATAAGTAACACTTTGTAGGAAACAGAAATTATGGAAATGCAAACTCATAAAGACATAGGGTGTAAACGGCGGATTTAACATTCTGTCAAGATCAGAAGTATTTCGTGATACAATAGGAATAATGCAAATCGCTTTTTTTAAATTTCTCGTCGATTTTTTTCAATGAATAATTAATTTTATCTTTATCAGAAAATCCAACCATTTTCAAGTTAAGCAAAACTGTTGTTTTTGGCACACTTATTGCATTGAAAATGCAAGCAAAAACATGTAATATAAGAAGCTCTTTGTTAGTGCTATCAGATTTTGTTATATTGTGGACCTCACAGTTGTCAGACTATGCTATATTGAAGCATATCCGTGTTGTCAGATTTTGTAATATTGAGACCTATTCCTGTTGTCAGATTTGTTATATTATGGCCCATCCCTGTTGTCAGATTTTATTATATTGATGACCATCCCTGTTGTCAGATTTTATTATTGATGCCCATCCCTGTTGTCAGATTTTATTATATTGATGACCATCCCTGTTGTCAGATTTTATTATATTGATGCCCATCCCTGATGTCAGATTTTATTATTGATGCCCATCCCTGTTGTCAAATTTAATTATATTGATGCCCATCCCTATTGTCAGATTTTATTATATTGATGCGCGTCCATGATGTCAGATTTTATTATATTGATGAATATCCTTTGTATCAGATTTTATTATAATGATGCATATCTTTGGTGTCAGATTTTATTATATTGAGGAAAATCCCTGATGTCAGATTGAAATATATTGAGACCTATTCCTGTTAGATTTGTGATATTGAGGCCCATCCCTGATGTTCGATTTTATAATATTGAGGCATATCCTTGATTTCAGATTTCATTATATTGATGCCCATCCCTGTTGTCAGATTTTATTATATTGAGGCCTATCTCTGTTTGCGGATTTTGTTACAGTGAAAATCACCACTGTTGTCAGATAAACGCAATGGATGAAAAATGAACAATCACAAGTATATGTGAACATTCCATTAATTTCATTTATGCTATTTTTATTGGTTTTTTTTCTATCTTTGGATAATCATGAATTATTCAGACACTCATTGAAATGCTACAAGTTTCAATATTGCAGTTAATCTTCGAAAAACACTTTATCTAAAACTTACCAGGGAGACATGTTTTCGTGGCATGGTGGTAGCTCATGCCAGGTTTACATTTACAAGACATCCGCTTACATTCTGAATTCTTAACATCACTGCACGTCTCGTTTGTTAGACAAAATTGTCTCATCGAACTTGTAGTCGGGAGATTGTTCTCTTGAACACTGGAAATCTGTGCATTAAAGGGTATAAATTAATATAATTTATATTTTTATAAAATTTATCAACAGTAAAATAATATTGGTTCCATTATCATATGGTTTATTCCCGAAAAAGTTGTAACATAGAATGTCTATGTTATTTGATACACATGGATAATGTACGTAAACAGAATAAAATGTTCCGTAATAAAAAATATTATTTTGCTATTTTAAGTAGGATTTTATTCGTTTATCAATGGCTTTGTGCATGCGCCACTCGCTTTAAGGCAATTAATTACCATTTTTATTCCATACAAATATTTTAGAAGCATTCTTTTTTTTTAATCCAAACGATATTTTTGTCCAGATATACAGCTTATACACTTTAATTTTATAAACAGTAAAAAATTTACAAACAAAAAATTAACTTCATGGAAAATGAAATAAATATTCAGTTCGTAAAATATCTTGTTGAAATGATCTTAAAATATTCATAAGGCGTATCAAACTCTGGAAATGAAGTCAGAATTAATAAGTACAATGTTTTAAATTCATATTTTCAGCGTAAAACGAAATATACAATTAAGTTATTTAGTGATCGCGGACACTTATGGCTATCACCAATAAAGGAAAATGCCCGGCAAGAACCGTCCAGTTAGCTGAATATGTAAAGCGATCCATTGTGAATCGGGCGATTTCAGGTCATCTTCGTTGTGATATATCATAAAATCTTTTCAACGGTCGTTCGCAATGAATCTTTGCTATAGTAGATACATAAGTAATACTTTTGCGAAAGTGAAGGCATCTAGTCCTGGTAAATTGCTTGACAGCATGCCTAGAAACGATGCTGTGACTGAACTGTGCTCTTTTTAATTCGAAGTGATTAACTGCCGTAACCCGAAAAGTAAACTACAAAATCCACTACACAAGGCCAAGCATTACTTTATGTTGCTTGTTGTAACCATAATGAATATTGATAAGCAAAAATTTTGATTAAATCAAATGTATCTAATTATCTTAAGTTAAAAAACACTTACGTTTTTGACAAAGTTATCGAACTCTTGTTGCAGTACATCTAATTTGTCGGAAAATTTGGACTGATCCTTTTTTCTTTCTTCAGCCTCTTGCTCTACTGCTTTCTTTAATACTGTGACCTCACTTTGAACAGCAACTAGATTAATCTCTGCCTTGATAATTCTTTCCAAAGTTTGAGCCTCATAGTGGTATCTTGAACATTGCTGCTCTTCTATCAGGGCACCTTAATATGGTGACCATCAAACACATCATAATGATTATTCTAATTGACAGATATATAATTTGGCAATTGGTCCGTTAACTGCTTTTTGTACGTAAAAAATGATAAAGTAATCATAGATCATTTAAAATCATATTTAATAGTAATTAAAAATAATAAAAGAAACCATTTAAAATATGTAGCAGTTTACCTGAAGCAAAGCATCCAGTGTAAAAGAAAATATAAACTACAAATAAATACAGCATCATCAATTTCCAAAATTTGTTACTTCTCCGTTCATTGGATTCTTCTGAATGTTCAGACAAAGCAAATTGTGCTACATACAAGTAAAAAAATTAAGTTTTTGTCGTTACAAAGATGAATCGGAAACAAAACTATTTTGGTAAGTTATAATTTTCCTGTCACTTGACATTTTTACCAATTAGATACTAGCAAATGGTATAATTAGTAAAAACAACCTACTTATATCAACATTTTATAAATGCATTTTTGGTAAAACATAAGTAGAAGGAAAGGATTTATCGTTGACATCCTTTGAAACACACATTGGACACTATTTTAATAGAATTGGGGCATAATGGAATATTCAACTTTGCTTCTTTAAAGCTGCACGCCTCCAGTTGAGCCAAAATATTTCAAGTTATTCTTGAGAAAAATGTCTTAAGATCTTAACAAAGTAAAAGATTCGATATTTAATAAATTATTAACATGTTATGTGCGATTAATGACTGATTTTGCAGTATCAGTCACTATTATTCTACTGCGTTACTAACGTTTGTAATGTGTATATTACTTTCTTTGTTCACTAAACAATATTTCACTTTTACATACATTTTCAAAGTTTTTAGAAAAATGAAAATGAATCGAATCCGGAGGCATGCTGCTATAAAATGGAGAATGCGAGAGGTCTTTTTGCAGCTGTTGAAGATTTGTTTAATAGTTCAAATGGCGGGACAGTAAGAATTTCTGATTGGCCGAATTGCA